TCTGCAGTACTTAAGATGTGGTTTTGAAAATGTCCTGTGTAACTGAAGCATGACTTCTTTACCTTGATAGAACAAAAACAAAAGCTGCTGGAAAAGCTCAGCAGGTTCTGAGGAAGGGTCACAGGACCCGAAACATTAACTCTGATTTTTTTCTTCACAGATGCTGCCAGACCTGCTGAGCTTTTCCAGCAGCTTCTGTTTTTGTTCCTGATTTACAGCAGCTGGAGTTCTTTCAGTTTTTTCCCAGACTTTTATGTTGCTTAAAAACAGCATGCCTTGTTGAAGATTTCATTTGCATTCATCAGGACAATTCACAAAAAAAAACCCATTCAAGAGGAAAACCAACATACATATTGCATGAGAGGAGAATGCTGATTGGTTGACAAGTGGCCTTTGATTGTTAGAGGTGTTGCCTTGGAGAATGTGCTCATTAGTGCTGATTGATAGTTAACTGTCAGGCGTTGTTTAATATTTAAATCCAGCAGGTTTACTTTGATTGATCAGGACATTGTCCTGAGAAATGAACTAGTGAATGGCTGCTACCTAGTTTGTTGAGTTGAAACAGTATTTTACATGTTGTTTCTGTCTGCCAATATCATGGCCCTGTGTCTTAATATATGGAGCTTCCAGTACATGAGAGAGCACCACACTTTACACCCTGCGAACAGTACTGAATGTGGGAGGAAGTAAGCCCATTAATATTTTTTTAATACTTTTCGTTTTCTACTGATACTAATCTCCTTCAGTTCCTCGTTCCCAAAACATTGTTGCTTTCCTAGCATTTTTGGGAAGATTTTTTGCATATTCTTCTGTAAAGATAGAACAAAAGTAGTTGTTTAATTGCTCTGCCAATTCTGTGACCTCCACTAGGGACACAAGCTTGGGCCATTTAAGACTGAAGTGAGGAGAAATTTCTTCACCCAGAGAGTGGTGAGCTGTGGAAATTTTTTAATACGTTATTCATTCATGCCACCTAGGTGTAGCTGGCTAGGCCAGCATTTATTGTCCATCCCTAACTGAGAAGGGTCAACCACATTGCTGTGGATCTGGAGTCACATGTAGACTAGAATGGGTAAGGATGGCAGATTTCCTTCCCTAAAGGTGCCACATTGTTCCACGGTGACCATTAGATTTAGCTTCTTATTCCAGATTTTTATTGAATTCAGATTTTCACCATCTACTGTGATGGCATTCAAACACATGGCCCACAGCATTAACTTGGGGTTCTGGATTATGAGCCCAGTGATATTACCATCTCCCCAGTTCTCTGCCACAGGAATTGGTTGAGGCTAAGACATTGAATGTTTTAAAGAAGATTTAACGATAGTTCTTAGAGCTAAAGGAATCGAAAGGTATGGGGTGAAAGTGTGAATAGCTTGCTGAATTGGATGATCAGCCATGATCATATTGAATGGTGGAGTGGGTTTGAGGGCTGAATGGCCTACTCCTGCTTCTATTTTTGATGATTCTATGTTTGTGGAGAGAATGGAGTGAGGCTGATTAAGGGAGTAGAAATTCTAAATGTGAAGTGATGCTGCCTGTCTTTGTTCTTTCCATCACAGAGTTTGTTGGCAGAAGCAGGAGCAGGCCAATCCGGCCCCATTGAGTTCAGTCTTATTGTTAACCGTCTACCTTGCATTTTGAAAGCTGCACATGATGAGTCGCGCAATCTTAGCCTTTTCAGGAATTGTTTCTCTCTTTTTTCAGAGTGTTCCTGAGCGTCCACAGCAGCCCATCTCTGCCATGTTCCTTTTCTTCCAAGAGAAACGAAAGGACAATCCCAATCTAACAGAGAGCGAGCTTACTCGGCAGCTGGCCAGGATGTGGAATGAGTTGTCAGAGAGAAAGAGGGTGAGGATATTAACCCAGTGCTGAAGGAGGCATTTGAGTTAAAAATACACAATGCTGGAGAAACTGGCGGCATCTGTGGACAGAGAAGCAAAGCAAACTTTTCAAGACCAAATAAATACGTTGCCTTTGTCAGATTGAGATCGGGGAGTTTGGAAGTGATGTTTATGATTTTACTTTACCCTGATCTGTAATAAAAAGTTTCAGCTGCAGATTTTCATTTTGTTAATTTCCTGGTTTGGAGTCTTATTCTTCCTCTCTGCTATTTAGCCTGTAGTGAGTGTCAGCTCCGAGCCCCCAGTGGTTTTTGCTGCTAATTCTGGCTGTCTCCTCCCCGCAGCTTAGTTCCCTCTCTAACATGCTGACATCTGTACGGATAAAAACCTTGTGGCTAAATCCAGAGATAAGCAAGAACTGCAAGTGCTGGAGTCAGAGATAACACAGTGTGGAGCTGGAGGAACACAGCAGGCCAGGCAGCATCAGAGGAGCAGGAAAGGTGATGTTTCGGGTCAGAAGGATCCCGACCCAAATCGTCAACTTTCCTGCTCCTCTGATGCTGCCTGGCCTGCTGTGTTTCTCCAGCTCCACACTGTATTGTCTCTGACTCCGGCGTCTGCAGTTCTTGCTATCATTGCAAAGTAAGTAGTCTTGTTTGGGGTGCAAAAAAAATGCAAACTGTAAAAAGGGCATTTTAAAAAAAAATTCCATTTCTCTCCTGAAGTTAACTGCAATAGAAAATGCAATCTCTCACATTGTACTTTAACCTACTCACATTGACGTCCTTATCAACAGTGAATGCTCAAAACACCCACATTCACTCATTTTTGTTAAGACAAATGACAGGAAAGAACTCATTCTCATGCTGTTATAACAGTCCTTGTACATGTTCTCTGAGCCTTGATCACCACCACAAAGGTCAAACCAACAGGCAGATCCCACCCTAATTTCCCTGCCCTTTTGACTAGATAATAACATATGAAACTTGGAAACCAAGAGAAATTTGTTGCAGAGTTCCTGAGAGTATTATTGCAAATAGACATTAAAAATTAAGAATAAATATGAAAAAAATCTGCATGTTTGTATTTAATTTTTAATTTTTTAAACATTCTGCGGTGCAAATAACTTTTTGGAAACGCATCCTTAGCTCTTCAGCCTGGAGGTGAATTAACATCAATACATACAAACTGCTTGTATATTGTGCTCATGCAGTGGGTTCCAGTTGGTGTTTAGTGGTAATAACAAAGTAAACTTGCAGAGTTCATCAAGGCCAGTGGCCGGGGAGACACATTTTTCATTGTTTTTCCTGGCTGCTGGCCTTACTGAGTCTGGCAAGTTTATCTTGCTGCTGCCAGCTGCATAAGACCAGTTCACTGGGAGTTGACAGCTACACACTCATTAATCTTTTAGGCTTTCAGGGGCATAGCATTGCAATTGTATGGGTTGGTTTAGGTCCATCACTCAGCCAAGTATTGCTATTCTTAAAAGGATTTTTAAGGTGTTTTTTTTATGTTGTGGGTCTGTGTAGTCTGGTCTTTAGAAAAGGAAACTAAACCAAACATTTGTACTCTACTTTTAATGAAATAAAATGTCCTGTAGGCGAGAGAAGATTTGAACATTAGGTGCTTTTGGAGACTTTCCTAGACATCGCCTGTGTACTACCTGGCTCAGTCTGAATGAGAAGGTAATGAGAAAGGAGATTTGCATTCGTATAGCATCTGTGCATTCTCAGGACAGCCCAAAGTACTTTACAATACTTCCAAAATATGTAATTTCTATTATAAGTCACTCAGTTTGTATATAGCAAGGCTCCACAAGCAACAACATGAGATTGATCAGAAAATCTGTTTTAATTAAGTGTTATCCAAAATACTGGGAGAACTCCTGTTTATGTATTTTTTCATGGTATGTGAGTGAGGCTGGCTGGGCCAGCATTTATGACCCATCCCTAATTTCTATGAAAAGGCAGTGGTGAGCTAAAGATAGTTAAGTAAATGTTGGGAATAAATGTTTGAAGCATTATTACGAGTTGTTTTCCCAATTTTCAATTGAAGCAAGTTTTGGCACATCCATGATTTGATATGTCAGAAAGACAATGTATCGTCGAGTCAAGGATGTTTAAAGGTAAATATAACTGCACGTTGTGGCCATACATCTGGAAACCAATTTAATGTCTATGAACTTTCCCGTCTTCTCCTGATTTTTGCATTCGACGTCTGGTAGTGATGTTTTGCAGTCCACTTGAATCTACAGGGGCAGTTGTACTGACAACATATTGAGCCTGAACAAGAGGAAGTAATTATGCATTAGCTGATAGCCCATTGAAACATAAATAAACATTTAAAAATATTTGTTCAGTAATATAGGTAGGAACGTCTTTGCTTGATGCACAATCTGTGTTAAATTGATTAATCCCTGTAATTGTGTTGCAAACAATTTGACAATTAATCTTATTACTCCTGGGTGAATAAAAATTAATCAATCTAGTTACTTCTGCTCATGAGATCATAGGACATAGGAGCAGGAGAAGGCCACTCGGCCCATCAAGACTGCTAATTATTCAATAAAATCATAGCTAATCTGATTGTAACCTAATTTTCAATGTTTATTTGCCCAATTTGCCCAATCTTTAGTCATAAGACAACCTCTTTATTCCAGGAATCAGCCCTAGTGAACCTTCTCCAAACTGCTTTCAATGCAAATGTATTCCTCACGAAGTTATACCCAAAACCATACATGTGCTCTAGGTGTAGTCTCACCTATACTCTATACAAATATAGCAAGACTTTCTACTTCTGTATTCTCTCCCCTTTGTAATACAGGCCAATATTCAATTTACCTTCCTAATTCCTTGCTATTCCTACATGATAATTTGTTGTGATTTGTATGTGAAAAAACTCAGATTCCTCTGTATGGCAGGATTCTACTTTATTCCGCTGCACTAGTTCTCTAGTTATAGTTTGCCAGGCGTACAATATTTTTGGCATCAAGCAGCACCCCTCTGTGAACTGTCTTCTGAGGTTAGTCTCCAGGTACAGGTTCAACCACGTAAATTTGGCCACTAGTACCACTTGAGAACATCATGGGATTCAATATCCCAGATATCTTGCATCTTATTCACACTCATTATATTACTATTCCTGAGAAATTTTCTTGTACCTACTGGGAGAACAACATTATCAGCCTTCAAGTCACGTTGTGTCTTTCTTCTTAACATTTCTTTCTTTGTCTTCTTGGATGTCATCTCAGATGCACGCTGATACTCAGTTATCCAACTGTCAACATGGCCATCCTCATCTGACTATGTGTTTGGCCCAAGATGTTCTAGTGGAAGAACTGGGTTTCTCCCAGAAAAGAGGTAGTGCAGAGACTAGATAGTTGAAGAATGTGTGATACTGTTATATATATAAGTCATCTCTAGAAACTATTCAGGGAACTTTTGTTTTGCGTTTTGGAGGTAGGGTGTGTAATCTGTCAAGAAAGCTATGGCTAAACTATTCACATTGTCCATTATCTTGTGGATGTTAAGGGGGAGAATGATTGTTAGGAATGCCTGAAGAATTGCAAAGTTCTTGTATGACATTGTGGTCATGATCACTGTATATTCTGCATGGAACACCAAAATGAACAAACCAGTTGCATGTTAGGACTCGATCTGTTGTTTTAGGCCTTCTGTTCACAGGTGGGAATTACCTTTGTGACCTTGATAAAGATATTTGTTCGTACAAGAGTATGTTCAATTTCATTTTTGCTTGAGTTGAAATCCATAATGAATGTTTCCAATGATTTAGTTGCAGTTAGAGATCCCATCCTGGGGAGAAGCTGCTTTCCAAAGTATAGCTTTCATAGTTCTGACAATTGTTTTGAATATTTCATCCATCCCTGGCCAGCAATATTGCTTTATCTTCACAGTGTTCTTGTCAGAGCAGTCTTTTTTAATGTTAACTACCCTGCCTGATCAAGAATTACTTGCAACCCTTGAAGCTTGAAAACTGGAAGGAAGGATAAATTGCTTCACTGTCCTCCTGATTAATCAGTAGAAAATAGTATCTAACTCCCTACTCCTTTACCAGCATCTCAGCAGTTTACGTGCCTGTTTGGACTCCATTATGCGTCTTCAGGTAGATTATGTTTAATTTTCCAGCAGAAGTGGAATCTACTAATGTTTTCCTCAATTATCTGAAGCTGTCTGAGGTCTTCCTTGTCTTAGACGTCGGATGGTCTTGCTGTGCATAGCTCTACCCTTCTCGATCTAGTTTGGATCTCATTCAGAAGCACATCCGGGATAATTAAATGTATGCCTGCATTGGGAACTCTGTTTGCTGAGTACAGTCCCAGTTTAAAGTGGCCAAAGCACTGAAATTCCAGCAACTCTGAATTTTTTCTTGGTTGTGATAAGCCTTGATGTTTGCTTTGTAGATGGAACAGCAATGATTGGATCTGTACTTGCTGTGTAGCAGTTTGCTATACTTTTCTCTTCAGCATATTATTACATTGCCATCAGCAACAACAGTCATCTCTCTGATGCTAGCCTCCCTCCTGGATTTAGTGGCCCTGTCTTTTCCCATGATCTTGAAAATGTGATCATGCATAACACAGAAGGGAATTTCGGGATTGTCACTGATGAATCTCTTCAGCTCCATCTGGACAGTATTTATCTCTCATTACTTAAGCTAAATTATTTTTCTCCTGAACTTCCCATGTTGGTTTAAAGGATGATTCCAGGTAGATAATTCTGTCAAAAAAGCCACAAGCACCACAGGTACTGAGACTGAGACCTGCTTATATCCATGGAAGTTACTTTTTTTGCAGCTGTGACAAGACTATTGGCATTATCAAACACTCTTGTCAGGATTTCAAACATCAGTCATGGGCTCTTTTGACCATCAATAGCTCTCTGCAGTTTTTCTCTACGGGGTTTTCTGAACAGATGCTCCATGAAGAATGTCACTTGCTCACTGACACTCAGGGATGTGGATGCCATGACTATGAGCATACCCTGAATCCAGATTTCAACTGAAAGATTGCTTAAGTTTTCTGGGCCTCCTCCAAATCTATTCAGCTAACTTCCAGTTAGAAATTAGAATTTATATGAGGTGACTTTCCTCCCTTCTCCTGCTGGTCACATGGGAGCCTCCTCCTTGACTCTGATTGGACATTCTAATTCATTCTTCAAAGCCTACTCCTCTGCTTCAGCCTTCTTCTCTGTCAAGCAGTTTTCCATCTCTTTAGGCACGATTAAAGACACTGAGAGTTACATAAGACATTTGGCTATGGTGGTGTCAACTGTAATGTCCACTGGGTGGAAGCAGCTGCCTAGATCTCAGTGGCCATAAGTGAAATTGCTAGCGTTTGATGCCCGTATCTCCTTCCTTCTCATGCTGATAATGCCAAGCTATCACAAGGAAAACACATTCTGAATGCATGAAGATTCTAGTTCAGTGACTTTTTATTTTACTGACATCCAATGTATTTAGTACGTAGATTTACAAAAGCCTATCTTAAGACAAATTCATTATAGTGACTAACTCATGAGGCAGTTCAAAAATCAAACAATTCATAGCTCAACTTCCAAATCAAACTGTTAAGAACTGGCTAACCATACATCCCACTTCCATGGCACAAGCCTATCTCATTTCATCAGCCTGCTGAAGTCATTCAAAAGTTCTGAAAGCATGCCACGTCAGAAAATCCACTAACCTTGGTGTTTTACTATCACCGGCCGGTGGGACTACACCAGACATTGTCAACAGCTACTATGGCAACCATTGGACCCAGAATCCAGATTGATCTCCACGTTTGTGCATAAAAGACAGGTAGAAGTCAGGGAGACAGAATGACACTGAGGCCACATTTGCAATTCAGTGCTTGGTGATTCGAGCTATAGTCTGCTTAGTATCTTCACTTTGTAATGAGCATCATAAACACTTTATCTGAAATACAATGAAACACTGTAACAAGATGTAAGAATATGAACGTGTTAATTTGTGCATTGCCTTAAGGATGGGTTCTGAAGGTTAGAAAACAAATTCATTAAGTATCAACAATGGACATTATTACCTAAATTTTGCATTTATGTGCGGCTTAATTTATGTACGTAATTAAAATGTTGAAAGAGTATTGTAACTGCATTTTTGAATTCTTCATTGTTTTTATGTAGAATAAATTAATCAGTCATGTTGGGTTCATTAAAGGGCAGTTACATGAGATTGAAACAAAAAGGAAGTCATGCTAAAGAATCCAATGCTCTGTTTTGGTTTCTCGCTTAGCGTGACAGTGGCTGTTTTATCAGATTGTCTCACTATTTCAGCCATGTAGACCAGACACTGTTTTTCTGTGGTGGTTTTGAATTCAAGCCATTGTTGGTCCTGTTCCATCACTAAAAGTTCAGCAGCTGCACATGGAAACTTGTAGTCATTAAGTTGTGATGTATCACGTAACTTTATACAAAGTAAACAGAGTATTTTTGGCTTGGTTATTATAATGGCACAATAAACTTGTTAGTTACATGATTTTTGAAAACTACACGTCACTATAGTTAACATGAGTATTGTTTTTAACATGATTTCGGGAAATTCTGTTGTGGTGGATTTAATTTTTTAAATATACGCAGCAATGAAGTTATATGATTTTGAAAAGTTGCAACAGAGGATATATTTAGTAGTCTTGAAGGTGACATTTCTTTTTAACAATAAAAGTTAGTAATTTATTCATTGTAGTCAGGTATCAATTAGCAGAATTGTTTACTATTCTTAGGTTCTCTTTTATGGCCAGATTTTCAGTTGCGAGATTTTTTTTAACTGCTTGCTCTTAGAAACACTTATCATGATTTTATATTCGGGCATTTTTCTTACTATATGCTTTTGATGGAATGCCATTAATGTATATAAACATAAAACAGGTGATTTGATAAACAAATGTAGCTTCATCGACCGAAAGATTAAATTTTACAATTGTTTGTACCCATGGTTGCCCATCTTTGCTACAAGTAACTGTGTGGACTTCCATAAACCATGGAAGTGTCCCAGGAACATTTGTAAACATGATCTGGTGTGTTAGGAAAACAGTAGAGAAATGAAAAACAGGTTCAGGAAGAATGCAATAAAAAAAATCTCCTAAACATATGTTCTTTATTTCTTCAGCTAAATGGAAAACATGTTTGCATTTGTATCCAATTATTATGGACCTAACGATATTTTGGACTTCAAATTCGCATTCTGCTGACAGTACTATTTACTGATAATTAATGGAAAACCTGCAGCATTTGTTAAACATTTGCTTGGAAAACACAGTCTGAGATTAGAACGCATTCCTGCAGCAGGCAAAGTGATTTTTAACATGATAACAAGGTGTAGAGCTGGATGAACACAGCAGGCCAAGCAGCATCATAGGAGCAGGAAGGCTGACGTTTCGGGCCTAGA